TTGTCAGTAAAGACACAAAAAGATGCTCAAATAGGAAAGATATTCAACATCGCCAGTTACCAAGAAAACTCAAATTAAAGCCACAATGAGATGCTACTACATACCCTCTAGAACAGTTAAATTTAAAAACAAAAACAAAAAACCCAGCAATGCTAAGTCTGAGTAAGGATGTAGAAAAACTGGTATATTCAAAGTGATGGTAGGAGAATACTGTATGATTCCACTTATATAAAATGTAAACAAATCTAGAGTGGTAAAAAGTGATTAAAAAGTGAACCCCTGCCCAAAAAAATCAGGGGGTACCTGTGGTGAAGGGGGGATAGTTTGCAGAGGGAAACAGAGAGTCTTTGGGGGAATGACAGAAATGTTCCTTGTCTTGACTCTAGTGGCCACTCACAGGTATATGCACCTGTCAAAGCTCACTGAATTACAAGTGGAGCATCTTTAATCCAAAATTATGAAATCTGAAACTTTTTACACACTGACAGAGTGCTCAAAAAATTTGTATTTTGGAGCATTTTGGATTTCCAAATTTTGGATTTCCAAATTTTGAATTAGGGATATTCAACCAGTAAAGTCTGGAAATATTCCAAAATCTGATAGACTCCAAATACTTCCCGTCCTAAGCATTTCGAGTAAGGGATTCTCAATCTTCATACGTTTTAAATGGATATAGCTTATTTATGTAAATTATACACAACAATGTTGATAGGAAAAGGTAAAAGATGATAAGCGTCTACACATGGGTAGTTGAGGAAAGTTAGAGGAGGGACAGATTTAAGAAATATTTAAAAAGTAAAATTAACAGGACCTGACCCAGTGAAGCACAGAACATCTGCCTCTCAGTCTTGCAGAACTGGACCAGAGTGTAAGACAATGAATAGCTTCAGACTGCTGACTGGACTATGCTCCATAAAAGACTGCTTCTGAGAATCAAATTGCAGCATATTCCTGCTTTCAAATACTACCACCTTGTGTTTACATGTGTAATGAATACTACCAGGTGACTTGGAGGCTTGCGTGCCTCCCAGAGAGGAAAAACCTAATGTGGCACCTTTGAGCATTTGGGGGAGCTTATGTACGTCACAAATGCATGGTAGTCACCTCCTTCCCAGCTCCCCTAAGACCCAGGAGAGTGAGCAACCAGGAACTGTAACACATGCACTGAACAAAAATTCATCCAGTCAAAAGTAAATGGGGATATAGCTAATTAGTAGAGTCCTTGCCTAGCATGCACAAGGCCCTGGATTCGATCCCCAGCACTACCACACACACACACACACACACAAAAAAAAAAAAAGTGAATGGGAAGCCCTAGTGCAGGCACTGCAGCCTAGTATTATAGGGAAAATGAATGATAGTCCCAACAATGCACCAGACATATTGAGAGGTTTATGAGGCACACAGCACATATCAAGTGCAGAATGGACAAAACCAAGACATTTGACTCCTTTCTTCTGACTTTAAAATTTCACTGTAAGTTTAGGATTTTCAGCAGAGAAAAATGTAATGGAATAAGTCTCAAAAAGCCTTTCAGCCTAGTGTGGTGTGTACGCCTGTAATGTGACTTGGGAGACTGAGGCAGGAGGATTGCAAGTTCAGACAGCCTCGGAAACTTAACAAGATTCTGTCTCAAAATAAAAAATAAAATGGGCTAGGGATATGGCTTAGTGGTTAAGCAACCCTGGATTCAATCCCTGGTACCAAAAAAAAAAAAAAAAAAAGCCTTTCAACCTTATGAAGATGTATGCTTAGAATTTTATTTTAGGAAAAAAATCTTATATCAGAAATAAGGAATTGAGATATTTTGTCTCCTAAAGATGAGCAACACAGAATTGTTGGGAAAAAAAGAAAAAGGAAGAAGAATTGGTCTATTTTTGTTATTAGGAAGATTTTAAATCAGTTGATGATGGTGGAGTCTGACAGGGCCAGGCAAGAAGAAGCTTTTAGAAATTTGATGTGTGTTTTTGAGGGGGTGTATAAGTGTAAAATCTAATGAGTTTGAACACAGGTAAGTATTGATGATGAATACAAGAAACAAAGTAATCCACATTCTCAATTTTCAAAGAAAAAAAGGGTTCTAGATTGTCAGTCATGATAAAAGGAAGAGCCAGACCCTTTCTCTCAGTCCAAGATCAGGTACAGAATATTCTCCTGCACTGTTCATCTAATGTCCTGAAAATTCAACAAAGTTTTAAGACATTTATAAAAGTAATCTCAGAGATGATCTAAGTCTTCTTCTTTCCTTCCTCCCCGCTTTTCTAAAGATGAAGTAACTGAGCCCAGATTGTCAGTTGGCATGATTTCCCTGAGGTTAAACATAGATAACAGCAGAATGTGGATAAGAATCTAAGTTTCGGGCTGGGGCCGTGGCTCAGTGGTAGAGAGCTTGCCAAGCATGTGTGAGGCACTGGGTTTGATCCTCAGCACCACATAAAAATAAATAAATAAAGATATTGTGTCCATCTACAACTAAAAATCTATTTTAAAAACTGAAACAAATAAAATAAAGGTATGCTGTCCATCTACAAATACAAAAATATGTTAACAAACAATAACAAAAAATAATCTTAAGTCTCCAAATTGCTGAGTGATCAAGAAAGAATTAACATCGGGCAACCTTTTACAGTGTGTCAAGCACAGGTCTAAGTGTTTTACATAACATTATTTCATATAATCTTAAAAAAAAATCCACGTTACAAATGCTGAGACTGAGGTACAGCAAGATAAGTCCAGAGTGGCTTAGCTTGTAAGTGGAGGTGTCAGTATGTAAATCAAGAACCCCTAAGACAATGGAGTTAAATTAATGATATGTTAGTAAATTTTTTTTCTCTTTCTAAACAGTATATATTTTCTTAGTTTGTACACATTCTCTTATCACAAAGGCAATTTAGTGAAGATTTTTCCTTTTGATATTTGAATCCTCTGAATGCAAACAGCACTATACATTAAAAAAATAAAAAAATAAAAACACCTTACTTTGTGTTAGTAAATTTTTAACATAAGGCTCTCCAGGGAGGAAAAAACTCCGATTTGTGGTGACTGTGATCTCCATGGTGTAAAGACTCCCTTCACAGCTAATTTCAAAGTACCCACGTGATATCTCACTGAAAGTAGAATTGAGAAAACATGCACAGAATCATGTCTCATGAGCCAGTAGGAAGCAGCAGCTCCAGAACAGCACAGGTGTTCCTGATGCTCTGTGCAGTCCTGAAATCCATGGCTCAAGAGAATAGCTAAAATGCTCCTGGGGGAGACGGAGGATGGAGAGGGGGGCCTCAGACTGAAACTGAGTTTGCTAAGCCAGATTGCCGGGATAAGGTGGGGGCATTGTTTGGGTGACCTTCTTTTTCCTCTCTTTCCTCTCTCCTAGAACCAGCCTCTTTCTGGACACATGGACCTCCATCGGGACACTCACTCTAACTTTCCCCAGGGAAGGTGTGACCCCTTTTACAGGGAGCTGCAATTTCAGAAGGAAATCTGAGAAATAGAAATGTTCATTCCTAAAGCTGAAGCTAGACCCAGGGACCATGGTGGTAGGGGAAAGGGTGGGCAGGAAGAGGGATGAGAAAAATAATAATTTACTCAGCTTCCAGAGACTGGAATTCTTGGGCCTTGACTCTGATACCAGACCCCTATGGGCCACAGGGGGCTTCTGGTTATGACTGTTGTAGGCAGCCCCTCAAAACCAGAGTAAATGAAGACCCAGCTCATGATCCCTGCAAACAGGCTCAGGCTCTGATTCAGGCTTACCCATCTCCACTAACCTGGACAGGTTTCCTAATGTCCCTGAACCACGGGTTCCCATTTATAAAATGGGGAGAATACAATCTAATGTGAAAGGAATCCCTTTTAATAAAAAAGAGAATAATACATTAAAAATTGAGTGTGAGCATGTGCCAGGTACCATGCATTCTCATTTCACTGTCACACATACGTAGGTGCATTTATGATCCCATCGTATAATTTTAAGAAATTTCCCCAGGTCACTCAGCTAATAAGAAGCAGATCCAGTGCTCACTCTTGGGTAAGTGTGATTCCAGTCTTCACTTCTTATATTATGCAGAGCATATGGAAAGTAACTAGCAATGTCCGACACACACTCCATACTTGATAGATGTCATTTCTTCCCTTTCCCCTTGCTTCATCATTGTCTCCTGTGCTGTCTCACTGGGGAAGGACAATCATGAGGAACACTGACAAGGACAGGTGCTTGGCAAACCAGCTTTTCATGGAATCTCAAAAGGAAAAGGCTCCATGCCAAGTTCTTAAGAGCCTTTAGAGCAAATAGATTTTGGCTTCTCCTGCTATTAATACCTCACCTCCTAAGGTTCTTCCAACCCCATAATTTCCTTCTCTGGAACCTATACAAAAATCCCCAAATGACTTTCAAAAAGTCAGAGAGTCAAGAATACTATACATCTTAAAGTTTCAGGTGAATTAAGTCACCTCATGGTCACGCACTCAATGTAACAGAAGAGCACTGGATTAGGAGTCTGTTTTTCAGCTGGCTCTGGCATTCACTAAGCTGGGTGACCCTGGGCGACACCACATATCTTCTCTGTACCTCTGTGTTTTCATTTGTTCACACAGAAATAATAGTCCTTGTTTTGCCTTTCTTAAAGTCACTGAGAAAATCATATAAGGAATGTAAGTGAAAATACTCCACAAACTATACCGCACTACATGAATGTTGGAAATTGTCAATATTAATCAACAGCTTTTCAGCCTCATTGAGGAAATTCTCAAAAAAAAAAAAAAAAAAAAAAGACAACTATAGCCAAAAAGCAAAAGTGAGCAGCAAGCTGGCGTGAGGAGAGTGAGATGGTAAAGAAAAAGGAGCTGTCAGAGCCTCATTTGCAGAGCTGGCAGTTAACCTTCAATCCATTTTATAAGGCCAGGAAATAGCCATATTTTTTAATTAAGTGTCAGCGGCAGGATCAGCAACATAAAATTTAATGGTAGGGAAGACACTGACTTAAAGAACCATAACTTCTTACCTCTCCTTCCAAGAAGGAAATCTTTTCTAAAAGCTGCAATATCAAAAGCTGTTTCTGTTGCACTTTTTTCTTTAATGATTCAATCTAGAAAGAAACAAATGAAAAGCTGTCAATCAAAAGTATAGAACTGTATAAGTTAACCTACCGGGAGAGTCAGATGGCTTTGGTTGTCATTTGAACAGAACCAGCACATGGATTTCTTTGTGTTTTCTAGAACAGCGCTGACCTGAGATGCTCTACACAGGAGCTCTGTGACCAGGGAAGCTTGGGTTTACAGTTGTGATTTCAGAGTCACGTCTCATTAAGTTTGTTTAGTGCAACATCTCCATGTTGGTTCTGCTGTGTGATCCTTAATAATAGCCTAGAGACAATCCAGGGAACTGCAGATATAGCTCAACAAGAAATAATCATTCAGCTTGAATTTATGAAGCAACCCACATTTCAAATATTCAGTTTTGTTATTCCTGATAGCACATTCATATCTGTTCAACCAAGTGTCAAAAAGTTGATGTGTTAATGGAATTTCAAGGGTTGAGGATTCTGAGGTCTGGAGTAAGCAGGACTAGCTTCCTAAAACAGACTTGCGCTGAGCTAATGCCTTTGTTTCTACAGTATACTTTAACTTGGACTCCTCCCAGACAGACCAGAGGTTCCCTATAAAAGCAAGAACTGGAGTACTTTATATCAGACTATGTCTTGAACAATAGCGAAAATGGTACGCTCATTAAATAGCACTTTAACTTTCTAACCATCTTGCGTATTAAAGTTGAACATTCACAAAATCATTTAAAATTTAAAATTCCTCTCAGTGCAAAATGTCATAATTCCTCCTGCCACAGTGGTGCACGCCTGGAATCCCAGCAGCTGGGGAGACTGAGGCAGAAGCATTATGAGTTTGAAGCCAGCCTTGGCGATTTATCAAGGCTATATGGAACTTAGCTTCACCCTGTCTCCAAATAAAATATAAAAAGGGCTGGGATTGAGCCCCCCTGGGTTCAATCCCTGGGTCCCCTCCCCAAAAAGTTATAATTTATATGGAAGGGAATATAGCAAAATAGAAAAAGTACATATGCATTTACCCTTTGACTCAGCAATCCCATTTCTAGGAATAGATTTCAAAGATATAGTGGTTAAATAGAGAATGACTTAGATACAGGATTTTTTTTTAAGAAAACATAAAGCAAAACTCCATGATGAGTGATTGGTTTAATAAACCATGTATCATAACAATAGATGTAACCTTCCAAAACATGAAGATCTCTAAAACACTGATATGATGTGCATAAAGCATGTATAGTATGCTAGCTTTGGTGTAAAACAGCTGGGGACAAACAAATGCATATATATTTGTATAATAAATACTACAAAGATAAAGCCCTAATTATTTTTATATGTTTATTTTTTTTTGTATTTTTGGTACCAGAGACTGAACCCAGGAGTGCTTAACCACTGAACCACATCCCCAGCCCTTCTTATTGTTTCTTTAAATTTTGAGATGGGTTCTTGCTAAGTTTCTTAGTGCTTTGCTACATTTCTGAGGTTGGTTTTGAACTTGTGGTCCTCCTGCATTAGCCTCCCAAACCATTGGGATTATAGGCATGTGTCACCACACCCAGCTAGAACTCTAATTATTAAGAAATAATTTATCAATAGAGAGAGGGAGGAACTTAGGTAGAGAGAGACTGGATGAAAGACATTTTAGATATTTTGTTACTTTTTGGATAACTTTGAGAGCACACTTTATAGATTCAAAAAATAAAATTTAACCAAAAAGAAAAAACTAACCCTAAAACATGATGACTAACTGAAATGAAGCCATTTTATCTGTAATATTAAATTGGTGAAAAGTATTCAAATGTTGTTAGCACAGGTAATTTGATATTTTAGAGGAAAAAATACATTTTAAGTATAAATACTGTTGCAAAGAAATAGCACCTTCACTAGGAAAATTTTGAGTAGCAACACTGGTATTGTTATTTTGAAACTATTTTATATATGTTGTAGTATAATCATGTTTGGGAACAGGATTTTTAGTATAATAAAAAGCAATACAAGCATGAAATTAAAGAAGCAAAAAAATATTTTGTTAAATTTGAAATGACCATATCAGTATAAACCCAGAATCTTTTGTTGTTTTTCATAAAAGATGCATTACTCCTCTGAGAAAACTTCAAAACAATAACAACATGACACCTTCAGATCTCTATTTACTATTCTCCATTAAAATCAAACAAACAAAAAACCCATAAGATATGTTAGAGGAACGACCCATTCCAGGGACAAAAAATAAATTAGATGAATTTGAGATACTTTATTATATCTGAAAACAAGAACAGGACAAGTCCCTCAGTGGGCCAAGGAAAGAACAATTTGAGCATCAAAAAGAATAATGAAGCCAGGCAAGGTGGTGCATGCCTGTAATCCCAGTGGATCGATATGCTGAGGCAGGAGGGTCATGAGTTCAAAGCCAGCTTCAGCAACTTAGTGAGGCCCTAGGCAACTAAGTAAGTTAGTTGTGGGGAAGGGGTATGTGGCTCAGTGGTTAAGTGCCCCTGGGTTCTATCCCCAGTACCAAAAAAAAAAAAAAAAAAAAGAATTATGAAATTGAGTAAAACACATACATGGGAGATATATATTCATATATACATATATGTACACACACATGAATACTTCATAGGTCTTCAAAAAAAAAAAAAAAAAAAAGCAATCACAGCTTCTTGGGCTCCACTGGAAGTGACAAAGGCACCAACTCCTTACCTGAAAATGTGGCAATATAAACAGAAAAAAATCAAGCATTTCTCTTGCCTCTTTTATACAAACTACTTTTTGAGACTGTAACAAGCCTTAGTTTATGAGGAAAACGTTTTCACTTTACTGAAGAATTTTACTTAATCAATATGGTAGGAATGACAGAATAAGAAAAATCACAATCTTGCAATCTCTGTGAAATACTTAATACAACCATCACCAGAGAATGAAACAGAGTGGATGAAAGCTGAGGAGGAACTGTATAGTTATGTTTTGGCCCATCACCACCTGAATCCATTATTAGCCTTCACATCACCCAAAGTAGGACAACTGGCCTGTCTAGGCCTCAAAAATGACACAAAATGAAGCATATAGTACTAACCCTGAAGTATTCTTGACTTCTCACAAATAAAAGTTAAAAGTTAATCTGATCAAGTTTCCAGAGCTAATAAGGAAACAAAAAGTCAAATACAGAATGTGGAAACTTTTATAGGACAACTGGCTCAGTTCCTGCAATAAGCAGCCAGCAGGGTAAAACCAGAAGGTGGGATCAGACAGGGGCAGCATGCTCTAGGTTAACAGATCTTAGAAATGTAACAACTAAATGTGAAGATAATGGTGCTGATTGGGATAAAGCATCAGTAAAAATAAACTTTGCAAATTTTTATTACAGATTGGCGTTAAATGATACCAAGAAATTACCATTAATTTTGTTAAGTACGACAATAGCCTTATGATTATATAAGGAAAAGTTCATATGTTTTAGAAATGCATGGTGAAGTATAAAGGAAACATATGCAGAATGTCTGGGGTTTGCTTTTTACCTTTTTTTCCTTCAAATTTTTGTTTTAGTTATTGATGGACCTTTATTTAATTTATTTATTTGTATGCAGTGCTGATAATCAAACCCGGTGCCTCATACATGCTAGGCAAGTGCTCTACCAGTGAGCTACAATGCTAGCCCTGGCTTTTAAAATACTACACACGATGAAGAAAAGAGGTGATTAGAACAAATATGGCCAAATCATAGTATCTGTTGAACCTAGATAATGAGTCTAGTGGGCTTCATTGATTTTTTTTTCTCTGAGTGCATTTGGCATTTTCATTATAATTCCACACAGTTTTAAAAAATATAATACTCTGAAAATAAAAAGCAAACTACACAAAATAGAATATAAGAAACACACTTAAGAAAAAAAAAAAGTCCAGGGCTGGGGTTGTAGCTCAGTGGTAGAGCACTTGCCTAGCACATGTGATATACTGGGTTTACGCGTGGCAACACATAAAAATAAATAAATAAATAAATAAAGTATTGGGTCTACCTACAACTAAAAAAATATTAAAAAACAATAAAAGTAAGTCTAGTGTTGATAATAATGAAAGAAATTACCAATTAAAAACTGTAACAAGTTACCCTTTAATACCTATTAAATTTGCTCAAAATTAGTGACTAAAGAGGCGGGTGTTGGCAGGGCTGGGAGGGACAGCAACTCTCATGTGTTGCAGGTGGCACTGTAAATTAGAATGACCCTTTAGGCAATTTAGCAATAAATATTAAGAGCCATAAAGCTGTTCAGACCCTTTGACCCACTAATCCCGCTCCTGGGAATTTATCCTGAGGATATAATTCAAATATAGGAAAAGAGCTGTATATATAGAGATGTTCTTGCTCCCATTATTTATAATAGAGAGAAAATGGAAATAACCTTAATGTCTAGCACTAAAGGAATGGGCAGTAAATTATGGAATATCAATTTGATGGAGTGTATTACACAGATGTTAAAAACAAATACACTGCAAAATGGAAGAGTGTTTACAAAAAGCCTCAAGGGACAGGAAAAAAGTTTACAATGGTGAAAGTAAAAGCTGGAAGAGAAGTTAGATAAATGACGTAATTTTGGGGTTGATGTAGGATTATGAACAACATCAAAAAAAATTTAAATCTGTGTAAATTTTCTTCAATTTTTATCAGAATAATTTTCAAAAGTAACCTCATCATGCTCCTTTTTCATTCTTTCCTACAGTATTAAGATTTTCTTTTTAAATTGCCTTTTGAAATCTAAATGACAGCCATAATAGGCACTGAAATTCACTAAAACTTTCTAAGAAGGTGAAGGGTGATATTTAACCCAACAACATAAAAAATGGTTTCAAATATAGTTCTTTGCTGTCTCTGAAGGACTCAGAGAGGTATGTGAGTCAAGAAAAGCAGTATATGTAGTTTAAAAACACAGAAGCGAGCAGCTTATAGGCACATGCCAAGAGGATCCTGTAGATTTTACTTTAAAAAATAGTCCTGCATACTTATGTATTCTGTGTCCTCAAATTCAAACCAA